GGGGTAATAAAGAATTCGCCAAAAGATGGAATGGATGTAAAAGAGTCACGTTATAGAGGTGTTGGCTTGGTCTTGCGAATCAAGTCCAAAGCATCGTGCTCTTTAAGGATTTGCTAGGCGTCTCAATTAAGTAAATCCTCGAAAGTGTAGTTTAGATCAAACAACTGTGAGTTTTCAAAATTCTTTACTACAATTTCCTTAAAGTGCTAAAAAGATATGAGAAACAAGAGTATGCTGAATGATGCGCAAGGGTCAACTGCATTATAAGAAGGCATGTAAAACTAGTGCTCCATCAGGTGTAGGGAAAAGCAAGGTGAAAACTAGCATAGGGGGCCTAAGCCAACATGAACAGAGTGAGTTGCACGCATTGGGGCGAGCTTCGATGACATTAAGTCCATGTGTTGAGTTGTGCTGAGCAACGTTGAATTGATTTGGTTGACTGTGTAGAGTGTCAAAGAACTTTTAGTTACATGCTCGCTACCTATTTATAAAAATGGGCAGCAGCACACTCCTTCAATTTTGAATTCTAGTATTTAAAGATAGCAGATAATTGTTCATGGCATTAGTTAGTTGATGCCTTGATGGTGCACCTCATTGTGGAGATGTGTGGGCAAGTGCACAGTATGTCTTAGGTAGTAGGGTGAGTAGATAAAAATAGGTTGAGTTTCCTAAACACAAAATTCCACTTAGTTTTGATGAAGTGGGCTAATTGATTGGCTTCTATCTTGTGGAATTGGTTTGGATTTCGGCCAATTCTTTTCTTAGATTCAGTGCGCTAAAACTAGTTCAAACGAGAAATAGCAAAACACAATGGGGGGCTAATTTATTTATTTATTATTATTTTTATACTAAGAGGGGGCACATGGCCCAAAACAGGCTAATTTTTTTTCTTATTATATAATTACCATCCCAGATTTTTATTTCTTCTTGTTTTATACAATGTTAATTACCCCAGTCTGGTGGACGACTCACATGGTATAATTTATTAAAGGTTTTCCAAATATTGTTCATTGATGAATGTAGCATCTCGCTTCAGAATAAATATATCTTTAAATTTATGTGTGTGTGTATCAGCGGATGAACTTTTCTAGCCATTGTCATCGTCCCACTTGACATTTCCCGTATAGGATATTTCCCCCCAGATGGAACGGGTTTTGGGTTGCTTGCCGTAGTTTTCTCGGACACGTAACAAGATGTGAGCTAAATTTAAAATCGATGGGAAAGACTTTCATTGAATGAAAGTAATGCGAGCAAACAATAGCTATACAAAGGGAATGTGAAAAAACTAAATGCAAACGGGTTAATGGCTGGGAATTGAAGGAAGATACATTGGAAAATGCATGTAAAGAATGATGAGAGTAATGATGGGCTTCTGAAAGATTATCCGTCCTTCGTGCCCTCTATCATCGGCTGGCACTTGAAATGTTGAATATCCCTCAAAACTTGGTGCCTGCCGGTCACGTCACCCTGCCTTCCACTCCTGCTCTCACTCGAATCCTGCCATTATTATCATTGATGGTCATTCATGTGATCATAGAATCATGGGTTACTCTCATTCTTTCTCACGAGTCCCGACGCACGAGCCACTTCTCCATATCTTTATCTCTTATTGAGTCACATTGGGGTCATAGTCACTTTTAAACCCATACACAAAAGTTTTATAGCTGTCTTACGGCAATTATCATCTCAACAAAAATCTTATCCAATATAATTCTCCTTTTTTTGCATGAAATTTTATTTTTCTTTTGAGATTAAGTTTTCTGCGCTGATCAACGTTGTGAGCCATGAAAGATACTGATCTCATTCTAGAATAAAACTTACGTAATTGATCAAATTAAAGTTGTCCCTTTTTTTCCCCTTTATTTGCGGCACCAGTGAGTTTTGTTGCTATAATTTTAACTTGACCGGCTTAATTAATTAGCTCGTCTAAGTTTATAATTAATATGTATACAGAAGAATGGATTCAAAAAAAAGAAAGGGGAAAGGAAAGAAAACCCGTGATACAGGAGTTTCTTAGAAAGAACTAAAGAAGTAAACGAATGTATTGCAGGATCTGCTTTAGTTGCATGCATGACAGCATGAGCAGAGAGAAACATGGTGTATGTGTTGTGAGAAGAAAGTGGAGCATGCCACCTCAGGTGTAATCTGCTAGCTACCTGAAAATAAAAATACCCCCACAATAAAGAAAAAAGGAACAAAGTAAAGCACTAATGATCATAATTATAATTTAACTAGCCAGTAATTAATTCTGAGAATTAATGGGGCTCAGCAAGGGATAATAAAAGCATAAAGCAAAAGCATCGCCTGGCCCCTCGAGTGGGAGCGAGGCCATCAAGTATCAACACAAAATGACACAAGGATGTGCTCCCAATTCTAGCGTTTAATTTTAGGGAAGTAAATAGATCCTCTACGGCATGCTTTCATTCAGCCCACCCTTTTACGCGATCCCCATTGGCGGATCAAGTACAGACTAGCCTGACGTGGCAGATCATCGATGGTGGATTCGCTCCGGGGGGTTGATGAGCTGTCACCCATCGAAGCTTTCAGAGATGAAAGGGTGCTATTTTTGGTCGCCCAGATTCGCAGCTGTGATATTTGATGGATGCAATTTCTACGCGACGGTGACCAAGTTGATTGAAAGCGACACGGTCGATGCACAACGGGACCCACATCACATGCCTGTACCAATACGCGCATCGATGGGAAAATAGAGCAGCGGACCTACCTTTATTGTGGGGGCCACTCCAGTTCCTTTCCCTTTAGAAAAATGCGGGAACCAGTCACCACAACTCTTCAGTACGATTTTTTCTTTGGGGGAAATTTAAGAAATTCAAGCGCTTTTAATTTTGTTTTTAAAAAAGAAAATGTCAAGTATAAGGTAGCAGCATCTGTTAAAAAGAGAAGTGAACCAAACGCACTAAATTAAAGTATGAGGAGAAGGGGAGGAGCAGGAACATGGATTTAAGGTGTTTCTGAATGGCGTGCGCTGCAAATGCAATCAAAGAATCGGCATCAAATGTTAAATTAATGATTAAAAAAAAAAAAAGAGCAGGGAAGCAACAAAATTTAAGCGCCAAAACGCCGAACGGGCGGGTCCCATCCTCCCCAGTGGGGCCCTCGCTGAGCTCACAGGGTGAACAATATCGAGAAAATCCCCTGTTGTTCCCTGCAACGCCCACAACAATCTCTAGTAGTAATTAATTAATTATGCAGACAAATCCGAATTCAACAAAAACGTGAAATTTAAAAACTGGCACTCAGGTAATAATCCTGGACCTGGTGATCTGAAAAAATAATTATGAATGCGGTGGGGAAACGGGCGATGGAAGGCAGGTGGATGCCGGTTGGGTGAAAAAACAATAGGGGTTTGGGACCACACACTGATGTTGGGGAGCAGATACAGGGCACTAGGGGAGGTGTCCCATCACCGTACACGTGTAGAATATCAGGTTTCGTAAACACGTAGTCGCACGCACCATCACAAAGGCAACATCAGAATATCACACTCTGATGTGAGAGAGGGGAAGAGAGAGAGAGAGAGAGAGGTGGGTGCCATGTGCGACACTGCCACCCAATCAGAGGAAAGCGCGGCTTTTCCCGGTGGCCGATGCTCAGTGCCGTAAACTCAACTTCGTTGAATTTGTATTTCATATTTCAAATACTGTAGACTGTAGAGTATTATTTTGAATTTAATTGAAAGGTTTGAAAATAAAAAAAATCAATATAATCATAATCAAGCTGTTAACATTTATTCAGCAGATGCCACGTTGGTCTTGGCGGCGGATGATTATTTTCCCCCACAATTAATCACAATTAGTCGCAGGGGAGGTGCTGGAAAATAAAAAGAGAATTTTGGCGGAGGATGATGAAAATGGGGAAATTTACTTTTGTGAAGGCGAAAAAGGCAAGGGCGGGGGTGCGGCTCCCAACAAGGACGTAATCTTGGGATCCAATCATGGAGCTCGTCTTTTAAGGCAACATCTTTAATCTCTGTCCCTGTCTCTAATTTCCCTCTCTCTTGGCACCATCGGTTCCTCCTCCTCCTCCTGCTTCTTCTTCTTCTTCTTCTTCTTCTTTGTTTTAAAGCCAGCCTCCCTCTCACAACCCCCCCCCCCCCACAACACATGAATGGGCTAAGAGTCAGTGTGGGTAGGGAAAAACGTCTCCTTGTCTTGTTCTTTTGTTTGGACAAAAACTCTCCGAAATTCCTGCATCTTGTGAAAGATCCAAGTTCAAAGATTAGATAGAATAAGTACAAAGTCGTTCAACTCAGTTTCCCCTTCACCCTTGGATCCTAATTGCACTCTCTTTCATCCCAACAAATTACTACTACACTCATTGCTCCTCCCGACCTATCTATACCCACTTCAGCTAGCAGTATCTTCGTATTTATTACTAATTAATGTCATGTTATTGTTGATTCGCGCTTTAACAACCGTTCATGTTTTCCATATCTCATCGTCTCATTAACGTATAAATTGCATTGTTGTTCATAATTCTCTGGCTGCGTATTTTCTGTTTCACCACCCTTATTGGACTGCAAAATTTCATTTTGCCCAGTACATTAGTCATCCCATCTCTCATGTTCAATATCAAACAGCAAATTTCTATCATCACGCACTGGTGCTCTGGAAATGGTAATACTCCATTTTACCTAATAATTGCTTGGCAGCGATGTACTATATTTATTATAATAAAAAAATCGAATCTGTACTTTTCATTGCTTTCTTCCTCTCGTGCAATTTAATGCTGAAACCCGAGATATGGCGTTAGAGGAGCAGAAATCATGCCGGACATTTGAACCTAAGGGGAAGAACTGGGGTTCCGGACCATGGTGTATCAAGCAGCAAAAATTCAGGAACTCGGTAAAGAAATAAACAGAAAGATATCTGCAGTGAAATTCATTAGCCAGTCCGAGTCTCTTTCAAGGAATGAATGGTTGTGAAAACGACTGGTACGGGATAAAATAAAAATAGCAAACAGTAGTTACTTAAGTTGGAGACTAGAAATTAAGGCCATCATAATTATTGATCCATAAGAACAGGAATTACTTGGAAAGATTTTTTTACAGCATAGATGGATTTAATTACGAGCTAATGATTATTCATTATTCATATAGCAACCCCACCCGCACGGCTTGGAGATCATAATTAACCTCTGTCGTCAGCATTTCACATCTGGCCCCACTCCCATGCTTCTCTCTCCCTTCACAATCCTTCTCATCTCACCTTCAAGCACCTCCATCTCCTGCATTCCGTTCCGTTTTTGCGAAATTCTAGAGCTATCGATCTCTTCATCGCTTTAGATACAAACCCCCCGCCCTTTTAATTCGATGACAACATTAATAATAATAATCGCTTCGGTCCATGATCGCTTTTAACTCCAGTACCACTGGAGGGTCGGGGCCTGATCGTCCGAGAAGAAATTGCAGGCCTCGTCTGTGCTGAAGAAGTTGTGCTCTTCCGTCTTCACATATTGAGTCTGAGTCTGGCACGTTTTCTGGAACTGAAAGGACGACAAAGAACAGTTGAATTTCAAGGAGCAAGAGCCATCTTCGTTCAAGATTGCGCTTGAGTCGCTGTCTGAAGCGCCGTCTTTGTTAAAGTCCGCGGGGCAGAGGGAGCCGCCTCCTACGACTGCGTTTCCGCTGAAACACTCGTAATTCAAGTCTTCTGACTCCACTTCCGGAATGGCAGTTTCAGGAGGTTCCACATCCACTCCCATTAATTTCTCCTCCGACTTAGGTTGCTTTATCTCTCCATTCAACGACACATCTTCACTCTTCTCTTCATCTTGCAATCTAGATTTCAAATCCTCAATCTGCAATTAAAAAAAATGACGAGATTATAGATAAGCTTCTCTCAGTATATATCTCGGCGGACTGTTGTATATAATATAGTTCATAAGAGAGTGGACTTAGATTCGGTACCTCTCTGAGCATGGCTTCATTGTCTTGATGGAGGGCATCGTATTTAAGTTTGAGAGCTTCATAATTGGTTTTGAGGACGCCGAAGTCTCTCTCTAATTGCTTGGTTTTCCATCTGGCTCGACGATTTTGGAACCACACGGCCACTTGTCTGGGCTGCAATCCGAGTTCCTGGGCAAGCTTCACCTTTCTCTCTGGTTCGAGCTTGTTCTCTACTTCGAAGTTCTTCTCTAAGGCCTTCACTTGATCCACGCTCAGACGGCGTTTCTTCTCCGTCGGGAGGCCTAATTCTTCCACGCACCCTTCTTCGTCCAGCCCGTCCAACATGGATTGGAACTCCCTTCTGTACGCGCGATTGTTGTTCCTCGGACCGTGTTCTTCTAAATAAATGCAATCACGCAAAATTAGTGCAATAGCTTTTGTCAACAGAATACCCGGAAGAGAAAAAAGGCATCATCGAATTGGACTAGTTCCTATTCTACTACGGGGAAAATGGACGGGATCAAACGTTCCATAATTATTATATAAGAGAATTTGATCGTGGAGGTTAAATTAAAGAGACACGAAAACACGGCAATAAGTAAGTTTCATTAAATTCACCAAAAAAAAAAGGAGCTTCTCTAGACCTGTGATGGGCAGGAGAGCACCCAAAGAATCCGAGCTGCCAAGTCGCTTCATGGTCACTGGACGAAATATGAATAACTCAGCGGAAATCTTCTTAGATCTTAGGGGTTTTTTGAGATCCTCTTTTCTTTCTACTGTGGGTTAATTAAAGTATTAAGTGGATCTTTATAGATCTCAGGAAAAAGCTGAAGACAAAGGAGGGGGTGGGGGTTCACTTAAAAGGAGCCATTGAAAAGGAAATCCCTCGTCCTAAACAGCACCAATTTGGACAGTGCTGTGGAGTGTGGACTCGTATACAGATTCCTGGGTGTTCTTCCTTCTCTATCGGCACCGCGTCTCCCTCTTTACCCATGAAAAGCAGAAGCAAAGCAATACGGATGTAAGAGCAAAGTTTATGTCTGAATTGTTCAGCGCTCAAAACCCACACCTTTATCACTGCACAAACACGCTACACGATTAAACTCGGGGATCGGAATCCTGGAAGAGGAAGAAGAGAGGAAGGAAATGGAAAGAGACTGAATGGGGAAGGACGAGGGGAGAGTGAAGCAGCTCACAATCAGGCCGGGCTCACAATTTCTGTGGGTTTAAATAAAGCAGGCCGAGGAAGGGGGCAGTGGGGGTGGTGAGATGTAGGGTTAGAATCTGACTGGGGTTAGATGGAGTGGGGTTGGCGATCAAAAATCAAATTCAACCCAAATTCAATCCAAATGCAACTTTTAAGTTTTTAGTTTACCGCTTCTGGCCCGTACGCTTCTTTCGACCGTTTCGCCAAACTATAGATATTTCCCGTGAGAGCCAAATGTCTTCGTAAATCTGTAAACGGCTCGGATTCCCCCGCCTAGATCCCCCTTGTCTATTTTGGGAGAAGGGTGTTTTCTGTTTTCTTCCTTCTTTTGTCTGCATTTTCCCAATTTTTATCCTTTGTTAATTTTATAATTAAAAATTATTTAATAAAATAATATGAATAATGAAGATTGAGAAAGTAAAGAGAAGGTAAGAGTATTCTTTGAACAATAAAAAAACTAAGTGTATCGTTAGAAATACTGAGTCTCAAATAATAATAAAAGGTCTCTAAACTCCCTTATCATTAATTCAAATGTAAGTAAAAGATACAAAAAAATTGACATAACAAGCATTTGATTAATATTAAAGGTAAATTACAGAGTAGTAAAAATTACAAGGCCAAAAGTAAAACTAAAAGTTATCTAACAAATTTAAGAACTACAAGCATATATAATGGCTTTCATTATTTGAAAGGTTTTCTTCCCCCTTCTTTGTGATCTTTTTTCTCTATGAAACTCGTTCGGAAAATATTGAGGCTTCAACAAGAACAACTCACAAGATTTATGACACGGTCTTTTTATTTGCAATGTGTACCACCGTTAACTTTTTGCCTATGTTTCCAAAATATTTGTAGATAATGACCATGATTTTAAGAGATTTAAGACCCATTGAAGTTATGGTTTTGTGTAAAGCAACGGTATATATAGTGGCTCCAAATCTTAATGTATTCAAGGACCTATGTTTATCCGATCAAGTTATTTTATTAAGATTTGAATTGGCCCTGTTACTGAATCACTTACTGAACTTGACTCTACAATTATTCAACTCATTTTTTGTGATAGTCATTGTAAATGACATTTTAATTTTACCTCATATAGAAAGGGGGAAAAAAAAAGAAGAATACAAGACTCCTCTCCCGTCTACTTCAGCCGACCCAAGATTTGTATTCTGTCACCATATCTTTGCCTCCCCGGTGATAAATATGCGTATGAAATGGTTCCATTTATTGCGGCAAACATAATACGCAAATCTTCACTTAATTTTCCCTGACTTTAAAAAAATGGGTAAGAAAAATAAGGTTAATTCTTTCTTTAAATCTTTTTAATTGTTTTCCACTACCATTTCTGAATTGAAATGCGCGAGATCGATCGGGGTGAACAGAAATCATTAGCATAGCTTAACCCACGATATCTTGACGATTCGGGGGCGGGCCACAGAGATAATGACGGGAATACAATAACGGGTAGATCATTTAGAAAGGCGGTTGAAAATACAATGTAATTCGTTAAAAAATATATAGTATTTTAAATCAAATTATATTTTAATAAAGTAATTAATTATATTTAAATTATTATCATTTTTTTATATTTACACTTATTTAATAGAATATTTTACTTTAAAATAAATATAAAGTAATTTATTCATTAGAGATATTTTTAAAAATATTAATTATATCTTAAAATATTAAAACATATTTTTTAACATTTAAATTTTAAAAAATGTCATATATGTTTTAACGGAAAGAATGTGTACTTAATTTATGCTCATAACGAGTATACCTTTTCAAATACCGACAAGCGATGAGCTCTCCCAGGAAAGAATAATGCCCAAAGTGCCTTTCTCAGGAATACTTTTTACTTCTTGATCGCGGGAAGGGTGACAATTTTCGCTCCACTCTTGCAAATTTATATGCCACAGGCTACCTTGTAATTTCAGAGGATTCGACTGGGAAGAAGGGAGACCGCGAGCCACGGCTCATTATTACACAACACTGATAATTATATTGGTTTTGATTTCTATGTGTATGAATTATATATACTTGTCGCTGACTCCTTTGTGCTATTTGTCCCCCCTAATGTCAGTCTCTAGAAAATAACATTCAGCTGGTCGGTCTAGTGCATAGTCCTCGTAATAATAAAAACATGCTTTGAAGATTTGCTTTGGGACTGTGAAACTCCTTGCCATTGTACACCATTCAGGAATGTTTGACGATGACCTTGAATTAACAACAGGCTCTCTTAACTCTTATCTTCTCCGGGTTACCTAAAATTGGCCAGTGATTAAACTTTTCAATCTTATTGTTTGCTTTCAACTCGTCACGATGAGAACGATATGTCACCACCAAACAGCCAAAGCTTTTTCTAGAAATTCCGTTCGCCGATGTTGCATCCAGCCAAAGCAGACATCCAAGCAAATTAATCGCCGCAGAATAAATAAATTTTATTCACAATATTTATTAGCGTGTAATTCGTCTTTTTTTAAAAAAAAAATCCCTTAGCCTTTCCTCTTAACAAATACTACTGAATACTCTTTTTTGCTTTTGTAGGTTTGTTAATGATATGAGTTGTTTCCTTGCACAGAAAACAAAAAGAGATTCTGTTGAATGTATATGTAAAACCGGAACCAATCATTCGTTGAGGTTTTTGATGGAGTCCTCGAAGCAAATATTATAAAATTAACTAATCGTTGAAACAATATAGAAATTTTCACTGCACGGCCCAGAAGCATTTTCTGCTTTACAAGTAACATTTTGTAGGTAAAACAAATGAACTTGAATATATAACTCAAGTAGCTCTGTATTTTGACGTGCCTACCGGCCTACCCCAAAACCTAAACATGACTGTTGAAAATAGTGTAGCTACAGATAACACTATAAGATGAATGCAATATTCCAAAAAAATGAATAACACTATTTTTGCATTAAACCAAATGGATACAAATATCCAGTATTTATACAAACAAAATTCAAGGCAAAATACAACAATACCCTCTCTAACTAATAACAAACTAAATCAACAAATCATATGAGACAATTACATATCTTCAACACTCCCCCTCAAGTTCAAACTATACAAATCTATAGTTTGCAACTTGCTGAGAAATCTATCATGTAATTTCTTTCCCAATGCTTTTATTAGAACATCAGCCTCCTGTTCTGCTGAACGAACATGGTACAGAGAAATAATCTTCTGCTGTAATTTCTCTCTAACGAAATGACAATCCACTTCTATATGTTTTGTCCTTTCATGAAAAACAGGATTATTTGCTATATGAATGGCAGCCTTGCTGTCACAATACATTTTTACTGGATCTACATTCTGAAAACCCAGATCCTTCATTACCCCTAAAACCCAGATAACCTCTGAAATAATAACACTAAGTGCTCTATATTCAGCTTCAGCCGAAGATTTGGAGACAATTTCTTGCTTCTTTGCCTTCTAGGAGATTAAGGAGTCTCCCATTTTCAGCAAATAGCCAGAAACTAACCTCCTTGTAGTATGACATGCTGCCCAATCTAAATCACAGAAGCACTTCAACGTTGTACTGTGTCTCGAGCTTAAAAGTATTCCAAGTCCTGGGTTACTCTTCAAATATCTCAGCACATTCTTTGCAGCTGCCATGTGAGCCATCGTTGGAGTTTGCATGAATTGGCTCAAACTCTGCACAGAGAAAGAAATGTCAGGACGCGTCATTGTTAAGTATATTAACTTACCAATAAGTCTCCTATACTCCCCAGGGTCTTTCAATAGCTCTTCCTTCTTGTTTCTTCCCTCCTCATATGCAGTGAGCCTCAAATTGGAAGCCATAGGTACTGTCAGTGGCTTACAGCCACTCATTCCTGTCTCAAACAGCAAGTCTAAAACATATTTTCTTTGGTTCATAGCAATACCCTTTTTAGAACGCACCACTTCAATTCCTAAGAAATACTTTAACAGACCAAGATCCTTTATCTTAAATTTACTGTGTAAAAATTCTTTAGTTTCTTTAATCCCAGATTTAGAACTCTCAGTGATCAAAAGATCATCAACATACACAAGGATCAAAACAACACCATCATCAAAATGCTTAGAAAATAGTGAGTAATCATGCATGCTTTGATTGTAACCACCAAATTTCAGTGCTTGTGTTAGTTTATGGTTCCATTGCCTAGAAGCTTGTTTTAACCCATACAAGGATTTATTAAGTTTACAAACTTTATTCTCCCCCTTATTGAGGAGACCTTGTGGGATAGTCATATAAACCTCTCCATTAAGATCACCCTGTAAAAATGCATTAAAAACATCCATTTGATTCAGAGACCAATTATGTTGAGCAGCCAAAGAGAGTACAATTCTAACGGTCACCATTTTTACCACAGGGGAAAAAGTCTCTTGATAGTCTATCCCCTCCCTTTGGCTAAACCCTTTTACTACCAGTCTAGCCTTATACCTTTCTACACTCCCATCAGCTCTATGCTTGATCTTATAGACCCATCTAGAACCTATAGGTCTTTTACCCTTAGGTAAATCCACTATAGTCCAAGTTTTATTTTCTTCTAAGGCCCTAAGTTCATTGTTCATAGCTTCCACCCACTTCTTATTTTGTACAGCTTCTTGATAATTCCTAGGCTTAATGTCATTATCAAGGGATAACAGAAAGCATTTATGTGACGGAGATATATAATCATAAGATATATGAGATTGAATAGGATATTTAACTTTAGAAACAACAGCAGAACAGACATAATCTTTAGCCCATATAGGAGGCATTCTCTCCCTGGCCGGTCTTATTCTTTCTTGCTCTAGAGTAGGGTGTTCAATCAAGTTATCTTCTGAAATATTGTGTGGTTCTCCTAAATCATTATTATCTGAACATTTTTCTGTAATGGGCTGAGTAGTTCGAAATTTATCATGCGTTTTTTGTACTTGCAATGAATCAAAATCATGCCAAAATACATTGTCAAATGACTGTTTTGCCTCATTTTGTACTGAATTTCCAGCATCTTTAAAAGGGAACTTGTTCTCA